TCTTTAATCCAGTAATCTGTCATATTTTACATCAGAATGGGCTTTACCTAGATCAGCCCCTGGGCTCTGCTTTCCTTTATGTTCAAAAGTCAGTTTGATAATCCTGGTACAAAGAACATCCTGGAAACTCTGTTAGCATAAAATCAGGATTAACAGAGAAATGCTCCTACATAAATAAATAAAGAATAACATAAAGATGTCACTGTTAACCAAATTTCCACTTTTTTTTGTTAGACCTTTGTTCTGTGGAGAATCAGAAATGGATCAGCTTGGGAAAATCTTTGAGTGAGTACAACACAGTTTCTCTAAAATGTTTTTTCAGTGTTTACTCCCATTTCTCTCCAAGACATAACTAGGGGCTCGGCTTTGACTGGAACTAGCTTTAGGTGCTGTGTTTCTTCCCTTTTGACATGAAAACTGGATCAGAACGTGTCTGCTACCTGTTTCTAGGGATGTCCCTGTCCGATATCGATATATACCGGTCCAATATCAGACAAGAAACGAATATTTGAATATATATCGATCTGCATCTATTCAAACAAGCTATCTAACTCATTGGTTGATTATAAGTTGTTCTCATTTGTTCTTATACTTATTGTTGTTGACAATTGTTCTCTGTTAAATAAAAATTGCTTGATCAAACCTTTTCCAGCATTTCACAATATAAGTAAAGAAAGTATGTAGGATTCACGCTGATATTGTGTCTGGTCAATATCCGTATCAGACAATACTCACTAAAGTGTCTTGGGTGACATGTTTTGTGGATTGGATCTATATAAATAAACTAAAACATCATAGAATAAAACAGCAGTGATCTGTTTATCCGTTTTACTTGAATAAAATGCATCCATTCTCTTTAAGGGTTATTGGCTTGCCGCCGCCGGAGGAGTGGCCGACTGATGTTACAGTACAAAGGAAAAACTTTCCCCCTCTCAAGGCGCGCCCAATCACAGATTTTGTTCCAGAGATAGACGAGCAGGGGGCCAAGCTGCTGATGGTAAGCCTCATAAGTTACAGATTCCAGAAAGAAAACCTTCACACCAGATTAAAGCCAACATCCAGGACCTTAATGAACATTTTAAAGATGTTGATTCACAGTCAATTTGGAAAAAACCTCATAGAAGTGCGAAGGGAAGCATGAGCCCTCCATTTGCTCAAATCAGAAGGTTTCTATCCTAATACCCTGTCTACCAGCCAATCATAATGCATTATGTTACCCCACATGATCATGACCAGTAACTATGTGGGAGGTTTCTGTACCTCCACCCTGCCTTTCAGTTCTAACATAGGAGGAAATGGAATTAGGACGTTTATTGATGTACAATGTGCACTAGAAGATGCAATTCTGGGGGTTTCCTTACTGACTTCATCATATTGAAGACTGTGCCGAGAAGGCACAATAATGGTCAATTCTGTAATTTTTTCCCCCCACGGATTTCCTGAATAAAATTAATACATTTGAAGAAAAAAAATGCAAAAAGGCTCAATCCGCTCATTTAGCCCAGCAGAGGCATGGTAAGGAGCCACTCATCTGATTCAGGAATATTAAAAATGGAGTGCATCAAAAAGTTCCAGGATAGTAGCTCTCGAGGACTGGACCTAAGGTCCCCGGAACTAATCTATGGCTGCTGCTTCTCAACTCAGGACCTGGCTACTCTATAAACTGCCTCTGCAACAGAAAATATTGAAGTTATTGCATAAGCAAAAGTGTCAGGGAGCTGTGGCACCCTTTGCTTTCCTGATGAACCCCAGAAAACCTGAGATCCTACAGGGAGGTTCTGGCTGTGTGATTTTAATCTGCTGTGAATTAGATGTTAATCTTAAATGCTGTATCTGACGAATTATTTAAGGTCCCATTAAAGACTCTTAATGTTGTTTTTTTTGTTTCCTACTTCCCTCAGGAAATGCTGGCGTTTGATCCTGTGAAACGGATATCAGCCCTGAGCGCTCTAGAACATCCTTATTTCCAGGACGAGGAGAAGAAAAGCTGAAAACAGACTTTTAAATAATGCCATAAAGAGGCAACATTGTCTTAAATTTAGGATTTTATTCAGTGAGCTGCCCTTTTTAGCATAGCCTGCACTGTGAAAGGTTCTTTTTTTTCATACGCATCAAAAAAAGGAGGACGAGAGAATCACTGGTTCCTGAACTTTTCATAATTACAGTTGTAAACTGCCAACAGTACCGGTGTTTATCTGACGTCAACAGGGACTGATGTCTTCTCATCCGCAGTGCTTCTCATTTGTCTAAATGTCCAACCTGATTGTTGTCAATGTAATTGTTTTTTTAAAACATTTTGTGATATTCCTCCAACAGGACCAAGAAAAATGTTTGTGACTGCCTTTTAACTGTAGTGACCTTAGTGACAACTGTATTCAAGTTAGGAGGAATCCGCTAAAGGAGACTGCACAATTAAAACGCACAGTTTAAAGAAATGTCTCTTTAATTATCTGCAAAAAAGTGTTCTTGATTTATAAATTTCATGTTGTGTTTGTGTTACGCTGAGAAAACCAACTGAAACCAACCAGGACCATAAATAAATTGGACCTAATTCAATCACTGTCAGATTGGGTGTGTTGTTCTTTATTAGTCGTGATCTATATGGATGATGCATTATTACTATTAATAGAAACAGACTCTTTTTTTTTTTTTTTTTTTTTTTTTTTAAGCTCACAACAAAACCTGTTGCAACTCTTTTGAAAGATGTTTAGTTGGTCCAGTGTTCCTTTTATTCCCTAGGATGTTGGAAAACAGATTCATTTAATGGATTAAATGAGGGAAAAGTTCAAAAAAGGTCCGAACATTTCTTTGGAAAAATTGCCATTATATTTATTTCAGTTTGCACTTTAAGGACACTTCTGCAATATAATTTCTAAACTGCTGGTAGATGAACATACAAAGGATTAATTCATCTGGTGTAAAATGTTGCAAACGCTGCTCATTCAGATGCTCCCATATCTGCCAAGTCTTTTGGGAAACTACCATATTTCGCCCCCATTTACTGCTGTCCTGTTTTATCCCTTTCCCGTATATTTCCTGGATTATTATAATCTGCGGTGCAAAAACTATCACTTAAAGGCGCTGCTATATCAGTGTCTGCATGCCCTTCAGAAAGTATGTAGTTGCACCTCTGATAAAATAATATTTACAAACAGAACTGTTGCATCTTGAGTAAAAATCTGATCACCTTTTTATAGTTTACAATTGTTTGAAAGTGTTTATTTTAGATTTCTTGTGCACTAGTCTTAAACATTCGTACAGCTCACAGTGGATGTAAAATTTCCTTTATTTTCAACTTTTATTTTCAAACTTGACAGGAATAGATCCTCCTCATGGATAGGGGCCAATTCGTTTGACGACTGAATCACTGCCAGCTACTGCCCAACCAGTCCAATAAAAAAATATTTAACAGCCTCATGATCTAAAAGTGGGAAAAGCCTCCAACAACTTTACGAAGCAGGTAAGAAAATACTGAACAATACACCTTAAAGGGATTTTTAAAGCTTTTTTGTGTCGACGGGAAAAATGCATTTTTTTCTGCCGGTTAATTTCCCTTTGGAAATAAGCATTTCTGAATTGAGTAAAGCATTACCGGCTACACTGACTCTGTTCACCTCCATTTGATATTTTTCAAATTTTTCTTTGTATATTTTGTAAATCTAAGAATCTTGCAGTCGTCTTTTAACCCTGCCACTTATGTCGATCCTATCTGAGGAAAAAGGTGACATTAAGTTTCACCCATCATCAGATTTAATTTAATTAGAAAAAAAAAACAAGTTTAAGTAACCCCCCTTCTAGATTTTATCCATTGTGTCTCGTAATTATGTTGTCTGAGCGCATATGCCCACCCAGCTAACATCAGCATCAGGGTTTGTATTCTCCTAAAGGCCTGTTTTTAAGCAGTGGTTCACAAACATTTCAGTCTGTGATCCCCAAATTAACAATAGCACTGAGTAGCGACCCCCTAGAAATACATACAGTTCTTTTAAATCTATTTATGTATATGTAAAGTATTTATATTGCATTTTAAATATTTTTTTTCTATATATATTTCTCCATTTTTAAGTGTGGTTCTAATAAATGGGATATTTAAATGTATTTGTTTTTACTATTTAATGATGTATTTCATATTTGAATCATTTATTAGATAAATGTTACATCTATTCATTTAACTGTAGATTTATTTGATTTTTTTTAAATTTCTTTTATGATACATTTGCCCTATATATTTGAAGCATGGTGGGAGAAGTATCATACTATGGGGCAGATTTGTTTTGTACGTACCTGAGGATTTATGTTAAGGTGGATAAGATTAGTTGTTACAAACAGCAGTCAAAATCAGTCAAAGACCTCCGGTAGTTGTTGGAAAATGAAGAGATTTTATCTTATTTATTTTACGCATTGCATCCAAACAGTTCCCTTCTGAAAAATGCTCTCTCAGGTTTGCAGCTTGTTCTATTTTTTGTATGGAGTAGATAGTGAGCTCTGTGAGATAATCAGGGCTTTTAATGAGCTAAACCTGCTTTAATCTTCTCCTTTGACATCATCCCTTACTTTTCTATGGTGCTTTTCAGTCTTCACTATGCAGTAATGCTCTCTAATAAACCTCTGAGATGAAGTGACTTTACAGGTGGATTGTATTTATTAATATGCTTTGAAGGTAATTGGTTGAACAGTTTTTTGATTTTGGGGAATCTGAGTATAGAGGGGTTAGATTCTTTGTTAAAGAATCTAATTCAGTCATTTTTATATTCTCAGAGCATATTTATTTCAAGTATGTTATTTTCAATCTACACATTTCCACCTTTAATTTGGAAAAGATTTCCCATTTTTCAGCAGGAAACTACTTTGTTTTCCAGAGGAGACGTACTGAGGCGGAGAGCTGTCCTCAGAGAGCGGCGAGACAGAGCAGATGCGCTGGCAGGAGTAAAGCTGAGGAGGTTCTTTTTTTTTTTTTTCCCCCCATCTCCCTCTCCACATCCTGACTCGTCTGTTGTAACGGTGCTGGATAAAAATCGGATGAACGTGGGCAAGGACCACCATTGCAGCTGCTGCCTCACAGCGAGTCCCCATCACTCCCAGTCTGACAGCCTCACTGCCAGCATCCTGCATGTATCTGCATCCTGAGCAGTGCTGGTTGTGCAGCAGGATAACGACGAGGTGGCGAGAGCTGCATGGCTCAGTGGCAGCAAGAAAAAGAGGAAGGAGGGGAAAAAAGGGAGGAGGGGCTGGCTTTGGTGAGCTAGTGGGCTTCCTCTGCCTCACAGACACATTTTATTGACTTGCTAATTGGATGAGGCTCTCGGAGGAGAGGATGCAGTGACCAAGAGGAGCTGCTCTCCAGAGGAGGGACACAAGCGAAAAAAGAAAGCCCTGCTCGGGGTCCCTAAATCGAGCTACTTAATCTCCTTTTTTTCCCTCCTCGCTTGCAGACATTACAACAGATGTTTTTGAGTGTCTCGCAGTGACCCTCACGCCGAGCTTATAATTATATACGGATGACATTGTCGAACAGAGGCTCCTGTTGCCAGACGCTTCGTGACAACTGAACCATTTCCATTTTTTCCTGTTCCCTTTTTCCTTCTTTTTTTATATCTCAGTCTCATCTACTGGAGCTATTTTTATCAGCCTTCTTTTAAATGCCATTTGATATGAGCGGCGATGGCTGGATGAATTCCTCATCACATCAAAGCTACATGAGGATGTGAATTGAGCTTCTTCAGGGAGACAAAAAATGAAGGTATGATCAGAGGAAACGCTAAAGACATACTGTTCTGAAGTAGCATTATTTGACCTGAAATGATTGAAGAAATACAATCATCTGAAGGTATTGCATATTTTCTGATTTGCAATAGATGTTTTTTGTCTAGATGCACGGTTTCTATAAAAAGTAGATCTACAGGGAAGGATTATGAATGAATCAGTGGTAGACGCCGGTAGTAACGGTGTGTCCTGAGCAGAATTAATGAAGGCATTTAAGAAAACACTGTAGACTTGTTTAATCACCGGGTCAGAACCTAGCAAAAATTAGCAATTCAATTATACATAAAGCCCCTCTCATTCAGGGGTTTAAAGTGAGACATGTAGTGCTATCAAGTTCAACCAGTATCAGTTTGATCTTATGTTTCTTGTGTTCCCCTTTCCTCAGTCTTGCCATGACTGAGGAGTGTAGATGCTGTGAGGTCAGAGAGCAGGTGCCACTGTGCTCAGGTCTGCCGTCCCAATGAGCCAAGCCGGGAGCACGCAGAAACGCACCACTTACCTCATCTCCCTCACTCTGGTAAAGGTTGAGGCAGTGCCAGAGGATGCTGCAGGAAGCCAGACGGAGGGCCTTCCAGAGGGGGAAGGGAGCCCTAGGAAGAAGAAGAAGGAGGAGGTGGTAGAGGTGGAGGCAGAGGAAAACGAGAAGGAGGCTTCAAGTCATGTCCCTGTAAAAGAAGGATCTTTGTTTGTGGAAGTGGAGCATGATGAAAAAACACCGGTGGAGGAGGAAGTGGAACAGGTGCAGGAAAAGCATTGGAGTGCAAATGAAAGCAGGGATAAGCCTGAGAGGAGGGAGGTGTGTGCACCCCAAAAAGACAATGTACCTGTTGAAAAGAGCAGAGAAGCATCTTTTGCACAGCCACCTGTCAGGCAAATGGTCAAAGTATATGGAGGAACTATGTCTGAGGGAAGCGTGCGCAGAGAGGGACTCCGCTCAGATGCCTTACGGCCCAAGACGGAGCTCTACCGAGAGCCTCCCATGATGTTCCTGAAGGGCGAAAACGGAACGGACTTGGGCGGCCGCTCCCGTTGCAGCCTCCCCTTCACTGTCCCGTCGCAGGTCAGCCATCCACCACCTGTCGTGATGAGGTCCCATGCAGGGAGTAACGCCTCATATTCCAGGGAGCTGAGAGAGACCAACACGAGCCTGTATCATCCAGCTAAAACTCTAGATCGAAGGGATAACCGTGGCGGGGACCAGTCTCCCTTAGTGGCAGCTACAACTCTGGGGCCTTACAGGGCGTCCTGGGCAGACAGTGATGGCAGGGGCACGCTCATTAGGCCCGGAGTCCCCATCAGTGGAGGGTTTTCAGGTGTGATGACCCGAGAGAGCCCTCAGGGGGAGAGGTATAAGGCGGTTTCTGTCTCCTTACCGGCCCCCCCTGCCCCCGACGTGTGCAGGCCTCCAAGGAAAGGAACAAGTTGTACCCTTGACAACAGCGACCTGCAGTCTTACTATGAGGACCCGAGAAAAGTAAAAGAGGGCCAAGGAGGAACTATCCAGCGGGCTCCTCCTCCTCGTGATCGCAAGATGCTTAAGTTCATTAGTGGGATTTTTACCAAAAGTACAACAGGTCCACCAGGCACCAATACCACTCCTCCTCTCTATCCAGCTGTGGACAGGGGTTCCAGCGAAGAGGAAGGTAAGACACTGTCTGTCTCACTAAAACACCACCACACCATATGGAGATGAAAACATATTCAGAAAAAAGAAAATTATGCATCTCTTTCTAATAATTGGATTCTACCAGAGTGTTAACTTTCCTTTCTTAGACTGAGTGGAACCGAGCATGCTCCCAATGGCCTGGACTGCTTTTCTTGCGTTTTCAGCAGTATGGTTTATTCATGCAATGCAAAATGTTCACTTTTGAGGGCAGCACATATTTAATGATACAAATAGCTTAAAAAGGCATGTTTTCTTAACCTTATCAAAGTGTACCCAGGTTTAAAAAAGTTATACATTTCAAAATGGCTAAAAGGGATTTTCTAAATCCTTTCAGAGATCCAAGAGAAGGCAAAGGAGCCTCAAGCATTTATGTGCCTATACCTACAGCTGCAGTGGTATGCCTCTCCCTGACTTGTTGCTGTTGACTAATGATTAGCTGCTAAAGGAAGAATCATGCTTTAATCTCTATTATTAAAAGAAAAACTTAAAAAAAAAAGGTTCTCATGGCAAAATGCATGGAAAGTCATGGCACACTTTAAAAAAAGCCCAATAATCTCTCTATTTTACAGTAACACATTTTTAACAATAGATTTGGGACACTTTTATTGGCATGTCTGTGAAGCAGCCGGGTGCAGGGTAGCTTCCTGAGCAGAAAGCCTAACTAACTAGTTATCATAGGCATGTCCAAAATAGGCCCTTGAGGGCTGCTTTCCTACAGGTTTTCCATGATTCTCAGCTTCAGCACAGCTGATGTAGGTGATTGCAGGTCAGCAAAACCCTGTTAAGTGGCTTATCAATGGAAATCAGCTGTGCTGGAGCAGGAAAATCTTTAAAACCTGTGGGACAGTGGTGCCTGAGGTCCAACTTTGGACATAACTGAGTTAGTTATCCTATAAAGAGAAGACATTAAAAACTGTAAGTTTTGGAAAATAATGTCAACTTTCATTTTTTGCAGGTTTATTTATATTTTCATAGGAGACCAATGTATATCAAAATCACAATTGCAGTAAAAGGTGTTTATAATAAATTAAATATTACAATCAATGTTTTAAAAAAAAAATCAAAACAGGAACATTAGCTGCTAATATGTCCTATTTTAGATAAATCCAATTAGATGCTTCTACAGAGTTTGGTTTTCTGTTTGATTAACATAAAAAGGGGTCCCTGTTAGCAGTAGGAATTTTCATAGCAGCCCATTCCAAATGCATCATTATTTCAACTACAGCTTGCAACTAAAAACGTTACATGTGAAAATATGAAAGAATGTGGATAGCAGACTTAAAGCCTGAACCATGAATGTTTTCCTGAAACGCTTCCACTTTAACTACCCATTTTTCAGGCTTTATAACCATTTTACCGGAAATGTAATCAGACCTATGATCAGATATGAACAAACAAAGCTTTTAGATATTAAAGCGAGACCTAAACTGCTTTTGTTGTGAATGTGACTCCACAGATAAACATTCAGTATTACTTCCTGAAGAGCTAAGCACTCAGTATTAGTTTGCTACTTTTCTTTTTTTTATTCTTGTCTTTTAAACAATCAAATATATTTTCAACATGTAACACATGGATGAACAGAAAATTAATATCACTCATATTTTTTTTAATGTCTTGTAATTATCTAAAATGAGAATAAGTATAAAATACCCTCATCTTCCAGCTGCTCTGATGTGTCATTATCTTCAGTGTGGGATCATTTATTAAATATTTTCTGTAAGTAGAAAAAAGAAGCAAGCTTTATTACATTATTTTGGATCTCATTACAGGCACATGGTATTTGACTATGCATAGTCGTTACCAGATAATGGTCCACCATAGCCTTCTGAGCATCTGTTGCATGGTTTAGCGCCATAATCATAGCAGTTATGAAACCATATTATATATATGTCCCTTTGTTGAGATGTTTGTTTCACATTTGACATTGCTATACTACATAATCTATTTCTATATTATATAGCTCTGTTTGCACTGATTAGATTATCTCACCTCTACTACCAAAGATAAACTGGCAGCATCTTTAGACTACCCAACTTATAACAATCAGATAGCTGTAGTGCAGTCTTAGATTCTGTCTTTGCAGCTTTAAACCTTCAGCCCAAAAAGGGTCAGACAAACTTCCCATTTTACTCAGTTTTAAATACATGTCACAACATAATTTGGAAAAAAAAATAGATCTACCTAATTTTTCTATTTTGAAAAAGTAACAGTTGGGGTTCTAGAAATGATCCTCTTTTTCGTTAAACAGCAGCGAAAGCGATAACAAAGGAATAACCCATTCCTAGTCTTGACTTGTCTTTTTGTTTAACATAAAAAAACTGTAAAATCTAAATTCCAGGTTTATCTTTTTTGGTAAAAGTAGGATTTTGGCAGATAGATATGTCTTAACGGCCTATATTTATAGCATTGCCACAGTAATCAGAATAATCAAAATACTCAACTTATGAGTTTGATAAATGATAAACTAAGACTCCTTTTCACTGTTATTTGCCCCATTCTGAATCACTCACTTTTTGCTGTTCATTAATTCATGCTTTTCTGAATAACGCAAATAAAAGATGCAACTGGTTCAAATGCAAGCAGCACAACAATATCTTAATTTTCTGCTGTTCCACTTAAATAATCTTAGACAAAGAGCATGAGATTTGAGTGAGTGCTGAATATAATTTGTTGGGAGTAAGTGGGACATGAATAATTAAGGTTGGGGATACACAGAGCTGTGTTCATGGCAGGGCGAGGGGAGCGGGAACCTGCCACTTCCTGCTCTGTGCGTGGGGTTAATCAGCCTTCAAATGGAGTCTATTCATTTGTCAGAGTCATGTGGGGTTTAAATGTAAAAGTAAACACTCCGTCAGCCCTATTGTCTCAAATTGCTTTTCAACACTGAATAAACTCAGTTGTTTTTTTCTAAAATGAAATAAACACAAGCAATCAAATTTACCCCAAAAATTTAGCGGTGAAAGAAATGTGTCAAAGTGTCATGTGTGCACAGGTGGACATCACATCTGAGTGCCTCTCACTCTAAGCTCTGTCTCCATGAGAGACCGTTTATTGTATGGAGACCCAGACTGGAGGCTTCTGGAAAATGGAGTTGCCATGGCAACAGCAAGCAGCCAGAGATGCTGCTTGGTCTGCGCTGTGACGCTCTTGGTGGGGGCGATTGGGGCGTGGGGATCGCCCAGAGATGGAGAGAGCATGATGATGGTAGTGGGGGGGGTGTTGGATTGGTTAAAGTTAGCCCCTGGCTCCCCACAGAGCCGGCGCGATGCTGCCACTCGGACCAGAACATCGTGACCCCACAGTTTCCTCAGTGTGACTAAGCACATTGTATTTGTGTCATTGCCTTTGCTGGTACAGAGTCTGCAAGAATGCACACCTGCAAGCAGTTCCTCATTGTGAAGCAGAACGTGTTTGTTTTTCTGAGGTCCAGCCTGTTATCTGCAGACAGACAATGTTCACTAAGGCACTGTCTAAGGGTTTTGGTCCCTTACCAAGGTATCTCTCTTCCACAGCTTTGTTAAAACACTTGACTACGCCTCCACTACAGATATATCCCTAATACATCATGTAGTGTGTAGCATAAACCTGTTCAGATAGCTTCCCTGATCTACAATGCCTTCCAAAAGCAACAATGGCCATTTAACTGATGTTAAACTGTCAAGATTTCATTTTTATCTGAAAGAATAAGATTCAGTTCAAGCAGCTGCTGTAAAAAGTTGACAGATTTGTAAAATGAGTCCAGCTGTTTATTCAAACCTCTGAATAAATACTTCTCTTCTTAGAGATCATTGGTGAACAAGCACAGCTAATAGTTCAAGGAGCCAGTTATAGTGACATTTAAAGCAGCGTTAGATGGTAGAAACAGCACTTCAATGCTCTGTAGCCCATGGTAACTCTGTGTGACCTGCAGAGATCCTCCGCACATTTCTTTCAAGGATGAAAATCAAGGAGGAAGCCACTGTTGTAAGGCAGCCTTTAAAAGAAAGGCATCTGCACATAAAGGAGAGGGATACAGCATGCTTATGGAATGTGTTCTGTTTACATGAGAGCAAGTTAAAACTACCAGTGGCTAAACTACCAGAGTGAGCTTATTTGTTTAAGAGAATAGCTGATCTTGGACTAAATCCACCATATCGTGGTGGCAGCATAATGCGGTGGGGATATTTTTCCTTACCTTTTAGGGGCCACTCTGTTGTAGGATGTACTAGTTTGAGCCCCCTGCTTCATCCAAATGAGTCGTCGTGTACTTGGCCAAGCACTCAAACTGCATTGCCTACCGATGTTTGTCAGAGGGCTCGCTGTAAGGAAGCCTCGCTTTTGTCAGTGAGCCCCAGGGCAGCTTTGGCTAAACTGTTGCTTGTTGGAGAATGACTCAATGTAGATCACTCCCTGAGTAGAAGAAAGAAATTAAGGTTTTAAGATGTTGCAGCAGCTGAGGTCTCAAAACACAGTGGCAAAACATGCAGCAGGCAAGGTGTAACCAAAGGTGGTATAGGGCAGGAAATCTCATGAGGCAAGAGAAGCAACACAAACACAATTCAGCAAGGCAAACACAGATCATTGAACCTTACTTTTTATCTAACCACCTAATATGTATGAAGGAGATAGAAATAAGATAACCACAAAAAGTAGAACAGCAGATTAGTAATATCTCTACAACATTTGCACAACCAAAATAGACCCCATTAAACTAAAGCTGATTTAAAACTGTTTCTGTTCTCACCACTTATCTAGAAAGTTATATAAAAACATGCAAATATTTTTTTAAGCATCAAGTCCTCTCACAAATATGAAGTATGTGTATCATTTTTATTATACACCTTTTATGTGCCTGTCTCCAGCAGTCTATGGGCAAGAGGCAGGATACACCCTGGACAGGTGGCCAGTCTGTCGCAGTGCAACACGGAGACAACCATGCACACACACCTAGGGAAGTTCAGAGACACAATTTATCCTAACAGTCCTGTTTTTAGACTGTGAGAGGAAGACTTAGTACCCAGAGAGAACCATTACATGCTGGGAATTGCTGCAATGCAACAGTACTACATGAAATGGAGGATGGGAATTGTAGAGTGTGCTGCTATATAAGGGTAGAGTAAATTAGGAATCTGTCCTCGTCTCTTATGTTCATCGCCTTGATCATTATCAAGCATCCTGGGCTGAGTGTTAAATCAGAATCAGAATCAAGTTTATTGCCAAGTAGGTTTGCACTTACAAGGAATTTGACTTGGTGTTGTTGGTGAAGACAAAAAACAAAATAAGATAGAATATACCGGTATGCTATAATGCTTTGTACACAGTCTATGAAAGATGTTCAAATAAATTTTAGCAGAAATCAGATAGATAAATAGATTAGGTCAACATCAGTTGGTGCATCTGCTTATGGTAGTATGGGTTTAGATATTATTACATATAATATGCTGCTATATTTAGGTAGCACTGAACCAAACACTACCAAATTTCTGTATGAGGTCAACATTGCAAGATCTGGGTCAGACCCCTTTTCTTTTCCAAATGAACTGTTTACGTCAAAAGATTCAACAAGCCGTTGAAAACATTCCTCAGTATTCTTTCCTTTGATATGGCCGATCATTTTTCAAGTTGCACATCCATTATGTAAATCTCCTGCTGCACCAAAATCCCAAGGCGTGTCTCTTTGGATAAAGATCTGGTGACTGTGCAGACTCGCTGCCGTCCTCAAGAAAATACTTAGGGATGATTCGAGTTTTGCAACGTGGTAACATGTCCTGCTGGGACGAGCCATCAGATGATGGGTCCACTATAGTCATGAAAGAATGGACATGCCCAGCTGTAATACAGACACTTTTTAGAATATATTAGCTGTTCAGATAGAACAGAGGAGCCCGAATTGTTCCAAGGAAATATCTCTATTTTCATGTTGTTTACACTAAAACCAGAACCTACTATCTTGATCTATCAGACAACATCTTATAAATGTGTAAATGCCCTGTTTATGTGAACCTGCGAGTCTCAATTCTTTCGTAATGAATTCGTCTGTCATCCAGTGTGGTATTGTGCTGCCATTGGCCATCTGCTTGAGGTCAAATCAAATTGAATGCCTACATTACAACGGACACACAGAAAGACAAATTCTAAACCAGAACATAAAAAATTGGATTTGCATAATATTGGTAACTCAGCTAATATATAGTCTATAGAGCACAGTAAAGAACCACTTTAAAAAATTGAATGAATCAGAAAAACTTAGTTTTTTCTCAAGAGAAAATTTTAGTAAATGCAACAAATCAGCTATAGGGAGCTGAAAAGAAGGAAAAAAGAAAATGGAACAGACTTAAATTGAGTTTATTAAGGAAAGTTGGTGCTGATATCCCCGATAATAAAACTTTGGGTTAGATCTAAATTAAAATGTCATCTTTAAAAGAGAGATGGATGAACTACAATTTTAGTCTAAAAATGAGAGGCATCTCCTTAGTAACCTTTGGCAGACTGGAACCTGTTCAGAGTGCACCTACCTCCATATTGAATAGTTTTATTTTAACACTTTTCCAACCAATTAAAAGATACATCAAAAATGAGCTGCTTATATGCTTTGGAAGACCTGGTTACAAGAACATTGTTTATGTAATGTAAAGGCTCTGTATTGGTCTGACAGAGAAAGTAGTCTCATTGAGACCAATATCTCTCCCGACTCAATAAAGTTTCATGAAAAAGTCGATCCCTCCAATTATATTTCAAACTCAAGAAGACATTTGGTCCAAAAACGGCTCTATAGCTTATCACTCAATAAACAGAAGTACTGAGCTCAATCTTCCATTTCTGCAATAAATTTACAAAATGAGATCCAGTTTGTTCTACCGATATGACTTTAAAATGAATAGATTAAATAGAGGATATTTGACTTTAATCGGAGATAATCACAGCTGATTTGCTGAACAAACAACAGTGTGGGTATTTGTCCTTTAGTTGACTTGATATTTTTCCTTTAAAACTTAAAGACTAACAAACTAATTATTTTTTATTATGATTATCCCTTGTTTTTTTCTGGACTAAAGAGATTTAGACACTGAGTACAGGCCTTCTGAATGCTTTCTGACTGACACAGACTGGAACATGATTGTCTTTAAGGTTGTTGAGATGGAAGCTGGAACTATCGGAGAAAACTGATTAACGTTAATCAAGGAATGGCACCAACATTAGCCCACCTTGCCTTCATGACACTCGTTTCTGCTCCACCAAAAGGGAGGAGGGGGCTCCAACAATCAGGGGCCCATAGCAGGCTGCTAATACTGCTAACACTACATCCACATGAATGTGCATTTGCACAAGTCAAATTCACATGCACACCATCGAGAGAGAAAAAAGTGGGCACAGCCCAGAGTGTTTTAAAACCAAGATAAACAACAAAATACTTTTGGTGCATCAGTATAGGTAAAAACAGCATCTGAAATGTGTTTTTCCTCTGGCCTTATTTAATTAGTACTAGAATGACCTCTGTGTATCTAAAATGTTGTTTGTGAAGTCAGATTACCTTGGATCTACAGAGTCATTTAGTGCTGTGGTCCGAATAGATTTAGTCGAGGAGGAAAAGTAGAATTGCGCTTTATGGAGACGGATCTTTGTGGACTTTTCTGGTTTGAAAAATTACCTCACACATAAAAAAAAAAAAAAATAAAAAACTGAAAAAACAAGACACTTTTACACTACATTTTCTGGCAGTTGAAGCTCAACACCAACATACTATTTTTAACATGAAAAGTCAGATTTATCGGTAATCCCTCCTTTACTATATACTACCCCCCCCCACCTCTGAGGCGGACATGGCATGGTGGATCTTGCTCTGTCATCAATCTCAGGGTCCTGGACTAAAAAAAACCTTGAAGACCACCAGTCTAAGGTGTCAATCAATTTGTCTGGATGTACAACAAAAGTGCTTGTCGTAATCTCAACTGGGAAAGTCTCTGTAGGATCTGTGGGCAGCATTGATAAAATGAAGATTTACTAAATTTGTTTGTCAGGGAATGTACTAAATCAGTAAGGGGGGGAAACTGATATTTATCCCAAGCAGTAAATTAACTTTATACATTAAATCAGCTAATTTTTTGCTACCTAAAAGTTGTATCCATCCATCCATCCATCCATCCATCCATCCATCCATCCATCCATCCATCCATCCATCCATCCATCCATCCATCCATCCATCCATC